AAAAAAGACAGAATAAGAACGCGAGGAGTAATAAACAAAAAGTAGTTCATCAGAAAATTCAATGTGAAATCGCTGAGAAAATGTAAATGTATGGTTTCGTTGATCAAGACAACTGGTTCTGTCGCTTAGGCTATCTAGCCGAAAAACAGGTCACACATATCGAATTACGATCAAAGATAACAAAACAATTTAGGAACAAAGGCATCGATCAAGTTAGAAATCAACTGTTTCTATATATTCTTCCATTGACGCAAATCCAATTGAGTAATGCGTGCAGACGCGTTCCGAATGGGCTAGAATACAACTGTTTGGATTGAGAGGTTATTTCCCGAATTTGAGGGGTTTCGAAAAGAAATACACATGCCCTAAAATCAATCACTTTGGCAAGTCACGTGGCGAAGCAACTGAACTACTTCAAATGAAGTTCAACAGTAATGGAAACAAGGAATAAGTTCAACTATGTACACAATCGAAGTGATCCGGTTAACTAACAACTCTGTCACTCTTCCTCATGTGCTGCTGAAAGTCTCTAAATCCATCATATTCGATTTTGGGATGGTTATTTTTATTATTTCCACATCCATCTGACGCCAGACTGTGTGCCAAACAAATCATGGTGCAATAATCTTTGTAAAAAAAAGAAAAAAAACGTTCCATGATTTGCATGTGGGCTTAATACTGCCAGGTTGCCCAGGCTAAGGCAGGTGAATTTCCTTGGGGAATACACAACCAGAGCCTTCGGCTAGCCAACGACTGACCCACAAGGCAGCGGTGCGGTGTGTGAAAACCGGAATCCATTGGAGGCCAGTATCCAGTTCATCGGATCATTCGCTCTTCGGACGGGGTCAAATATCCGAGGTGCCCAGTACAGCTCGATGCCCAATGGAGCCGGTGACCACTGCCACGACCGGGAAGGTTTATGTTTGTGGTTCGTTCGCCTCCTCTTGGTTGGTTTGGAATTAGGGTTTTCGGCTAACTCACCTAGGTAAACTACCAGTGGTCCACCAATCCGGTTATAGTCCCGGATGTCGGCTTTTTGCCCTCTCACGAAAAGGCAGTGAGTAGGGCTTCCTCAGCAGAGGCTATTCGAGACGCTTGGCCGTATGGGAGCACTTCGCGACGTGCAAGGGAAGGGTGACCAGCCGTGACCTTAGACACCCACCCCGGACCATGCTCACTTCGAAAATTAACGAACCCTCGTATCCCAACGTGGATTTCGGTCAAAATGATCCTGCGCCATTAATGCAAGTTTAGGTCAGAGAGGAATAGACAGGGGTAATTGACCAACGTGAAGCAGTAGGCATATTGTGCCTGAAATTTTGCAAACCATTTCAAAATTTCAACCACAATGCACTGCCGCGACAACTCTAAGCTTAAGGAATCCAGGTCCACGGGCTCGGTTGGATCGAAAATTCTTCCTCAACAACGTACTTGGCAGTTTGCGTTTCTGATACTGTATGTGGTCCTATCGACGTTAGTTGGTGAGTTACACATAGATGAGTGCTGGATACCAGCATTTTTCGCGTTTTTATAAAAGATCTACCGAACGTCCTAGGACGACAGATGGTGCCAACATCTGGAATACAGTGAACAAATCTAAGGGCTCAATAGCACTTCCGAGAGCACTCAGCACAGCACATTGATGGTAGACGAAGAATGAAGCTGAAAGGCATCGAAACGTTCGGTTAACAAAAAGCATATATCTCGAATGAAGATTATTTCGGTATCGTCGTTTAAGAATAGGTAAGCCATAGAATAAAGTTCTCCAGGTCGTCGTACGTAACTATAGGTTGTATCGGTCTACTCAATTGTGTCTTGGCCAGACTTGACCAAGCGCTATTCTTATGTTTCGATCAGTGTACACCGAACCACACATTGGAATAGCCACTACAACCAGAAACTCATGATCTCAAGGTTTTAGAGCGTCTACAAAGGATGACCATCAAGATGGTCAAGGGATTACATTCTAATACCTACGTGGAAATCATTGGTATTATACTATACTCAGTACCGCCGAATTCAAGGCAATTTGATTTAAATGTATCAAACACTACAGAACCCCAATCAACCATGTCTTCCTTTGCTTAAGTTTTCACCCAAAGTCCACCTCAGGGAACGTAATTCCTTTCCGGTTAGTGTACACTGCTGGAATTCTCTGCCATTTTAGTTATGTTTGCCTCCCCCGTGATGGATCATTAGCAAGTCTCATAATTCGATAACCGCGAAATTAAATGACGGTGAATTCATATGGTATTTCTCATACGTCGAGTGTATGTCTGCTGCACTTTGCATCTCTCTCTGTCCTGACGCTCGACTCACGTGTGCCGAAATCTTCATGAGACGATAAGAAATGCAAAAACTTTGAGACTCCTGATGACTGACGACGTTACATACATATCACAAACGAACGAGCTAGAAAGACGCTCATGGTAATGTTCAATTACATTTCCCGTGAAAACAGCTCGCCGGAATAGATGTAGATCTCAGTAACTCATATATTTGCCTATCATTTCATCAGAAAGAACTGGAGACGGAAAATATCCAATCATTCAAGTGTAAGAGATTGTTATGCTGCTAATGCGGGGTCAAAAAGGTTTTCACACAGGTAAACCATAATAACATTATGTTCACAGGTACACACGATAAGTACAGAATATCAGCTTAGGGATGGGAGACAGCACCTTGAAGGTCAACTAGCAGAAAAGATGACGGTAGCAAAGCATTCTTTTGTTTCTTTACTGCACGCAATTTCGACCGTTTGTCCTTGATTAATAGAGTCGCAAACATGTAAAAACGCATCCATGTTAGTAATTTTGATTCAATGTCATATCCGACAGTCACCAGCCAACGGCAATCTGAATCTTTCGAGTCACAGCATAGAGTTCGGGATGTCCCGATGGAAGCCAGATCCGAAAACGATCCCTTCAACTTTCTAAGTCAAGTCATAGCTTGCCTGTTCTGCTGCTTGTTCCAGTCCGACCTAATGTCTGCAAATTGTGCGCGGCAGGGAAAACGTTCGTATTCGCAGGACGTGCTCCAGCTGCCTCAGGCAGTGCGAAAGGATTGTATTACACGTTATTTGACCTCATCGGTACACACGCGAGCCTCCCACCACATGGGGGCGATCTTACGCAGACCATGATAATAGAAGGTAGAAATTCGTCAGTTATGACCTGTTCGAAGGGGCCAAGGTTCGCAGCCGCAGAGCAACACAACACGTATCACTGCGCTATACACAAGCCTTTTCAATGAAGGGTATATGCCGCATCGGTGGCAGAAACGTCGCGAACTAGCAAACGCCAACCTTGGTTTACCAAGCTGTTGGGATATATCATTCACACCTTCGACAGTCGTTATGCAACTCCTGAGGTAGATAAAGCTTTCAAACACTTCCAGTATCATAACTTAACAAAAATGCAGGCACAGATTGCTTCCAGACCTTGGGCAGCACCTTACACTTTAAAAGTACAAATAACACGTCATACCGAATAATCTCAACTGTCAAGAGGTTCAGTGTGCTTTGATTCGCCTGTGTTCTGCTGCTGACTAAGGGAATATCATCGGTACACTTGTACCATTGTGGCATCTTAGTTATTTTCAAGGATTTTGAAAAGCCTAAAACCCCATCCACACAGGTTCATGTTGAAGACCCATCCCAGTTTGCATATACCCATTTCCAAGTTATTTCGGATGCCTTTGTTTATCTCTCCCTGGATGAGAAAAAAGACGTCTCGAGTACGTTTTCTGGACTACAGTGATGTCTTCAGTAGGCAAATATTGCTAAATATCCTTTCCACCGGCGGTGTTCAACCTCCTTCGATTGAACTCCTGGCCAAGTATCTCTCCAACCGTTAGTAGTTCACATGTTACCAAGTCCGTACATCTTCACTGCAGCCCTCATCACAAGGCGCTATTTTATCTCCATTCCTATGCTCTGCTAACATTTCTTCTATGCCTGTGAGCATTTTTTTTACAAAGAATGCGCATGATTCAATATTTGAATTTCCCTAGCTCAACCCATTATCTAAGGATACTCTACAAGATGATATGACGGAAATTTTGGAGTGGTCTCAACAAAGGAACCTTTGAAAATGTTAGGATGTAATTGTTTCTCTTTTGCAAGAAGGCATCCGTCTTCCCTTATTCATCTTGAATGATCAGATGGATAGGCAATCATAAGTTAGATAACTTGGAGTCATCCTGAACCGTAGCCCCACCTGACAGGCCTCTTAACTTGTTCATGAAAGTCAGAAGGTTGTCGTTTTGTTTTGCTTTCTAGATAAACTTCTTCTCCCTATCTATCTCATAAGGTAGTTTGTTTTTGGTTGAGATTTATCCCACTGGTTTCTCCTTTCGGACCTACGTTTCAGTTTGTGGTTAGGTGGGCGAGGGATAGAGTGCATTTTCAAAATGACTGTCTGGAGCTGAATTGCGATCACGATGAAAAGAGAAGACAGTTTACGGTGTTCATGCGCAAAGAACGAATGCATGTGTACACAAGTGAGCCTATAATCTGTTCGTATTAGTGTACCTGAGAGTCCAAGCCGAAGAAAAAGGTTTTCGTGAAAATCCCCGCCTGGAGCCTTTGATAACAGAACCCACAAGGCGATAGGGTAGAATAGGGAATTCATGGTCCTTGCGGAGCCCGAGCAATGCAACACACGAATGACAATTAAATGGTTCACTCAGCCACAGTTGAAGTTTACGTACCTCCCAAATCCTCATTTGTGATCAAGAAGCCGGGATTCATCAACGTAACATCAGGAAGCAAACAGTACACATACGAATGAACTGCTGAATTTCATCGAGCGCAATCCTGACATTTTACATTCTCAAGTCTATCAATAAACAAGTACCTGAGGTTTGACCACCAGCGCGTTGAGGTGTGCCTGGCAGGGGAGACGGACCGATTGCACCTCGATTATTTGAAGGAGCCCATGAAGCCATCACATCCGCAGTAGCGGGTGATGGTTTTTCGTGTGGATCCGAACTAACCACAGCGGCTAGTTCTCGTTCCATATGACTTGGTTCTAAACAGCTCGATTCTGTTGGAATAATGGCAGTGGAATCCATTGTCGACCCTGCACCCAACGACTGACTATCCACCCCAGGGGAAGCGGATGGCTTGGTTGCCGATAGCACGGTTTGTGTTTGGATCGGGATCGTGAGGGACTCGGTCGCGGTAGGTGCAGCGGTCGAACTGGAGTCTAATCCCGTAGCCGGAGATCGTGTTTCACTGGGAACGTCTTCGAGTTTAATTAGATTATTAGCCACAGGTCCTGACGCAGTCGGTGTGACATCCCCGTTTGCCTGACCGAAAATTCGCGCTTTACCCGGAGTACGCGCATCCGATGACCAGGCTGGTTGAACATTTGTTACATTTGAGCCGGATGCACCTTAATGATGAATTCAGTCGGGACAATTAGATTTCATGCAAAGATTGATTTTACGCTTATTGAATCACTGAATACATACCTTCCAGCAAAATACATATTTTGAAAACAAACGCCCAAGCGCACCACTGTCATCGCTAAACACAGTCTAAAACACGTGATAGACCTAAGCCATACAATTTTATGAACAATAAATGAGAGCCAAAATGTTCATGTAAAAATACATTGCAAATTGCGAATGAGCCAACCGAACAACGTTTTACGCATTCACCAACGCGCACCCCTTGAACGGCTGCGCTACAATTTTTCGCCACCGTTGCGTTCTGGAATTTATCTACCCAAATTACTAACTTTGCGTGCGTTAACCATATACAAAAAGGAATTAATGTTAAAAATTAAGGATGTTATTGTGAAGGACCATATTGCCATGTTTGGAGTGCCAGTTACCAGTCAAACGCACAAATACCGCAAACGCGTAAAACGCATTCGTGCCTGTTGGCAGACCATTCTTGGTCGTACCACTCCCAGCAAGATGACCGTACCTACCACTGTCCGTTTTGTGTTTGGGAAGCTTGCGGATTTATCCCACCTGCTCCAGCGAATGGAATTTCGATTTTTGCACACAACTAATTTTTCACTCGCTCCGAACTATTCCGGAGTGCTGGCGCCAAGTCGGAGTAATTCCTATCTCCAAAGGAACGTCAAAGGGCCCAATAGCGAAGCGTTTCACACCAATTGCTCTCACCTCCACTGGTTTGAAGTTGATGGAGCAATCAGTTCTGCACCGTCTTCAGTTATCTCGTACCACCCCCGATGACAATTATCAGTTTGCATACAAACACAACCGTCCTACATTAGATGGCATTTCTTCCCTAGTTCATTTCAGCTGTAAATCCCTTGACGAGAAAGCCAAATATGTGCATTGTGCATTTCTTAACTACTCTTTCGCTTTCGACTCGGTGCCCCGTTCTCTGTAACTTAACAATGTCCGATTTTTTGACTGTCCCGTTTCTCTTCTTGAATGGCTTGCAGATCACTTTTCACAAAGACATCAGTATGTTAAATTGGGAAGAAGACAGTCAACTGCATCACTCAACA